AAACTTAACCTCAAATTTAACCATGTTATGATCGCTACTGTCAAGTGGTTCTAAAACGTCCAATTTACCAATTCCTTTCCTTCCTGTTCCCGTTCTGTATCTCTCTCTAATGATGTTTCATGTATCACAACACATCCATGTAAAGTGCTTTGGGACAACTGTGTTGTGAAAGGCGCTATATAAAAATAAATTGAATTGAATTGAAATCCTACAGTCTTGTGAAAGGCACTATATAAAATTGAATTGAATTGAATTTAATTGAAATCCTACAGTCGCCACCACATACTACTACAGACAGGAATTCAAAGTCTTAATTTATCGTGGGGGAGAAAAAATGATTTTACATAAATTCAGGCAAAATAAAATGTATTAAGCCAGGTTCTGGCCATTTATATATTATTGTTGATATTTACATTATATTTATATTGTATATCAAAAATTCATAAAAAGTAGAAAAGCCCTCTGCAAACTCCACACACACAAAGCGGGTGTGATCTGACAGTGCTGCCCTCAGAGCCAGTATACTGCCCAATTCTGCAGTCAGATATGGTTCTCTCAGTTCTAGGACATGGTCACACATGGACCTATCAGCACAGCAATCACCTTGAAAACACAACAATATCGGCAAAGGAATATCTGCATGAAAACAAAGTCCATGTTTTGCAGTGACAGAGTGAACCTTTGGAGAAAACTGTAGAGCACAGTCCATTAAGGTAGACCTCAAGATCTTTGGAATTTTTTTTATGAAAGTATGCTTCAAGTTCCCAGTAAACTACAGAAATGTTTCCCAATCTGGCCCTTGAGGACCCACAATCGATCCATGTTATTGCTGTCTCCAAGCTCCATTCCAGTCTGCATTTTTAGACTGTCAACACCGTGGACTGTCTGTAGGTCCATGAAAACCGCATTTGGGAGGGATTGGCTTATAGGAAAAGGCTCAATGACATTATCCTTGCAGATTGTCCATGCAACTTCCTTGATTTTCGTGAGCTATAGGCGCCAGGAAAGACGGAGCCTTTCCCAGGGAGTATGGTGCAGGGCTCCAACTTGGGTGGGGGGCCAACCAGCAAATCGCGCTGTTTACTTTTCTCTAATATTGACTGTCATTGATTCCATTTAGTTACAGTTTAGGCACAAGAAATTTGTGTTGGAAATTAAACACACACACACACACACACACACATTACCACAATAAATTTTAAAAGAAACAAGTCTGATGCAGTTGAAGTGCAGACTTTCAGCTTTAATTCAGTGGGTAGAACAAAAACATATATTCACTTGGCTGTTCACTTGGATGGCTGTTATGAAGGGGTTTCTCTTCCCCATGGAAATGATTCTGCGATCATCCACCACTGTTGTCGTCCGTGGACGTCCAGGCCTTTTTGCATTGCTGAGTTCACCAATGCTTTCTTTCTTTCTCAGGATGTACCAAACTGTGGATTTTGCCACTCCTAATGTTGTGGGAATTTCTCAAATAGTTTTTTTGTGTTTTCGCAGCCTAAGGATGGCCTGTTTCACCTGCATACTGAGTTCCTTTGACTGCATGTTGTATGTTCACACCCCAATCTTCCAAATTCAAACAAGACACCTGAAATTAACTCCAGGCCTTTTATCTGCTTAATTGATAATGAAAGAACAAAGGAATTGCCCACACCTGTCCATGAAATAGCTTTTAAGTGAATTGTCCTACTACTTTTGGCCCCTTTAACAACAGGGAAATCTCAGTCTGCACTTTATGTCCATGCCCATTGTATAACTTCAATTGAAATATATTTCAGTAAACAGGTATTTATGGTCCTGACTGTGTGTGTGTCTATATATGTATGTTCTGATGATGCTCCATCCTCAGGAGGCCAAGGACACCCCCGCCCCCATTGAAATACTTAATCCCTTTTCCTTTTTTATCAGAATGGTGTTGTCCACCGAGACCTGAAACTGGAGAACATCCTTCTGGACCAAGACTTCAACGTAAAGGTGAGAAGAATCTGAACAATGAAAATGATCAAAGTTTATCTCAGTAGTAAGTACTGTAGATGGAGGCTTATCTGAAATCATGTAAACATGATGTAAAGTTCTGGGTGAGTCTTCAGCATATTATTTGTTGGCATATACATAAAAAGACCAGAACAGGTCAGAGTGCATACATAGTACATCACACAGACATCTCACTCACTCTAATGGGAGTCATTTTAAATTGCGATAACAAACTGTTTGGAGATGCCGACAATCTGTGAAGACGGTGTTTACTTAGTTAGAACTCAGCTAAAGGCAACAATGAAGGTATGTACCCTTAGCAGCAAAAGTGAAAAACACCATGCCAGTTCTTTGAAAGGTTCAGCTGGGTTATTCCTCTCCTTTTAAGGAAAGTGTATAAAGTTTCAGAAACATGTGGAGAATCTCAATGCTTTTTGAAGAATGGCTCCCTTTTTTTCTCATAAACGTACAAATTCCAGTAAGCTGCTGGCTGTCCCATATAGAGCTGTTGCGTTTTTTTTTCCTGTCCCTGCATGACAGCATAAGCACAGCAAATTAAATAGCCGGATGATAAATGGCATTGTTCTTATGGGCTAAAAAAATACTTCTGAATAAATAAATCAAGCGATCCTGCCAAAACCCTACGGACGATGGGCTTACCAAGTCACATCACCATCAGAAATTTCCATAAATAGCCTGGCACAACAACACTGAATTCTGTGCATGAATACAAGCATTCTTAATTAGAGGCAATATAATTTACGAGTCCTACATCATTGCAATGTACCTTTTTTTATCTTATGATGAGTCTGATTTCAGGCATTTCAGAGAAGGCAATGGAATTTGTCCTCATGAATGGACAGTGAACAGTTAGCCATTCATAAATAATTTTTGGCCTGCCCATGATTTTTTTGGGTAGTACAGTGGCTCATTGGCAACAGTGTTTTCTCAGTACAGGGTTTCTAGTTCAGATCAAGCCATAATCTCAGTGTGTGCAGGACTTATATTCTCCATGATCCAAAGGCACGGCTCCTCCAAATCGTGCTGCATGTATCACAGCGTACTGGGGGCACTTTCAATGACAGGGAGCTGACACAGGGGAGGAAGCATAAATCTATTTGTGAGGTGCATAGTGTTTTAAATAGCTTTGTGCAGAATGTCTGTACAGGACATAAACAGACGGATTTGGCAGGATGTGAAGATTATACCTAATCCTATCCGTCTATAGCACATATCTTTCAAAACAAGAAAAATTACACAGAACATGAGTAAGTCTCAATTGAAATAAAAAATATGAATAAATAAGTGTCCTGGGTGGCAGCATGGTGGCGTGGACCCTTCTAGGGCTGTGGGTCTAAGGTTGTCCTATTGTGATTGGAGTTTGAACGGCGAATCCCCACAAAGATATAACTACAAACCTGTGTGTGTGTGTGTGTGTGTGATATACACATTGATACATTGAGGCATTGAAATAAGTGCAGAAGTCACATGAATTGTGGTGACACTTTAGTTATTTATTGCCACACGTGATTAGGGAGTGATATTGAAACAGAATTAGCAGAAACAAAGTCTCAGGTCAGCCACATGACCTGTATGCCGTCTTAGTTTAATTTGTGATTGAACATGACCATAAGTCAGAAGTCACCCCTGTAGACATGTGAGTGTAAAACGCTGCTTCTGCTGGCGGCTGTCAACTCTGCTCGCTGTGGTGGTGAGACCATGCTGTAGTTTTTTCTCCCAGCCCACTTCGGCAGCTCTGCTGAACGCTGAGGATCATTAATTCAGCCTCCGGCTTTCCTGAGATGCTCTCCTTGGTTGTGTGGGCATCATAGCTGCCGTTGATGCTGGCTGTTTCTGGATCCAGACACTATGTCACTTCGGTTACAGTACAGTGGCACCCTGGCCACACATCCGTTGCCAAGATCTGCACTCATCTGATGTGACAGAGTGCTTTTGGGCGAAGCAGGTTCACTTGACGGTCTGTACATTCTTTCCTGGCTGGTCCAATGATATGGCCCCAGACTTAGCTGTAGCTATTCTAGTTCTCACTTTCACATAACAGCACGTTTACAGGCTGTGGGTGTTGTATGTCGCATGAGATGTGACTCATGCGTTCAGTCGCAACTTTTTGGGCGCCACATGGCTTTGAGAACACATTGGTCCTCAAACACAACTTTGGTTCTGTCTTCCACTCTACAGCTGGCTGACTTTGGCCTGTCCAGCCACTACCAGAAAGGACAACTCTTAAAGACCTACTGTGGCAGCCCCCTGTACGCGTCTCCGGAGATTGTCCAGGGACTGCCCTATCAGGGTCCTGAGGTGAGAGGGGCAGCTTGACACATTGTGACTGGAGGAGATGACACATTTCCTGCACATCTGTAACCTTCTAAGCTTGGAATGGTTTAAAGCACACACGTGTCCTAGTAAAGTCACCACCAATAACCAGTAATGATTTTGCATGCCTCCATGACATTATACCATTCACCCATTGATTGATCCATATGTTCAAACATAATATATACTGATTAGAGATGAAAAATAACTGTTGCCCTTATCCCATTGCTTTGTGTGACCTGAACTCAAATGGAGATGCAAAAATTAGTAAAACAAGTGTGGGGCAGTGTGACCAAAAATGGTCTCTACCCTCCCTCTCTCACTATCGACAAGAGCTTTTCCCTCCACAGCGGGTGACGACTTCTCCCAAATATTACAAATCTATTCAAACACTCTCTACAGGCTCAGTAGGCACAGGTCCACACTGCTGCTTCCATAGTCATAGCATACTACTAACATATTCATAGCGATATACAATTTCCTTCCTCTCATTTGGTGCAATGCTCCCGTTCCAGGTGGTTGACTATCTAAGTGGATTTTCGGAAGCTACTTTGTGTTAGGAAATATGTTTAACTTGATATATGCTTGATACATGAAATGACTAGTGAAGGATTACTCATCCAACCTACTTTGGCTTCCTCAGGCCAATTATGGAATATATGTGCCGATCTCAGTTCCACAAGGAGACTCAGTGCAGTTTGTCTGATCTGCCTTCATTAGGTGGACTGCTGGGCCCTTGGGGTGCTGCTTTATGCGCTTGTGTACGGGACCATGCCCTTTGACGGGGCCAGCTATGGTGTCCTGGTTGAGCAGATCAGCCAGGCCAAATACAAGAAGCCTCAGCCGCCCTCAGGTAACCAGTGTCTCCCTAAGGACATCTGCCAGGGGTTCTTTGTTTTTGTGCCGTAGTGGAGGGAAAAAGTGTACTGAGCCTGTTCTGTCTGACAGATGCCTGTGCGCTGATCAACTGGATGCTGAAGGTCAATGTGGAGGAACGAGCCACGGTGGAGGACATCACCAACCACTGGTGGGTCAACTGGGGCTTCCAGGAGCCAGTGTGTGATTGCCCATCCAGCCAGGCCTCCCCGTCGCCACTGTTGGCACGCTACATCGACTGGCAGAACAGAACACTCCACAGCGCCCCCAGTGGCCACTCTCCAGACCCTGCTGCAGACTTCCACGTCTTTCTCGGGTTCCCTCCCAAGCCAGTGGCTGGCCGGATGCCGGGGACTTTGTGTCTGAAGAAATCCCGCAAAGAGAACGTCATCTTGCATCCAAGCCCGGGCGATTCCACGCTGCTTGGCATGGACCAGAAGAAACCCAAGGGCATCCTGAAGACACAGAGCAGCTTCGACAAGGTGTGCCCCCCTCAGGCTGAGTCAGCAGACGCTTTGCCGCGGAGCCAGGACAGCCCGTATCACTCTCATCATACCTCCGTCACCAGTCCTGGAAACTCACAGACTCTTCCCAAGTGCTTGCCATCCGCGAAGATGCCAAAGAAGGGGATCCTTAAGAAACTCTATGTTAGGGAGTCTGGGTACTCATCATCACCAGAGCGGGGGGGCTCATTGGACAGGGCAGGCTGCCAAAAGAATCTGATTCGGGAGGGGGCCCCAACGCAGGTGGTGGTGCGAAGGAAGAAAGGGATTCTTAAGCGAAATGGGAAGTTCTCCACCAGTCTCGACTTGTCCGACGAGCGTGTTACCTCCCTGCAGTTCTCTGCATCCCTACAGCAGCTCCTCCTGTCCAGTGGAGGAAGCTGTGCCACAACGGAGACCTACTCGCATTCACATCACAGCCGGCCATCTAGCGTGATCAGCGATGACAGCCTCCTCTCCAGCGACTCCTTCGATCTGCTGGACCTCAGTGCCAACTACCACCGCAGGCTTCACTTTCAGGACGGCCTCACGTGCAGCTCAGAGGAGGAGCTTGAGAACCAGAAGGAGCATATTACGGACAGCAGGGCAGAGGGCAGGCAGACGGCAGAGGAGGACGTCTGCCCAAAGCCTCAGGAGACCAACAGGCGGTCCCTTCACCCTGTGTTGTGACCTGTGAACAGTCAGTATAGCTGAAAATGTAGACTTCAAACACTAATATCAGAGTATTATCATAAAGCGTAAAAATAAAGGTGTACTATCTTAATGGTGGCATACTGTGATGCAGACATTGCATTTCTGTACTCGAGTGATCATAATCTAACAAGTTCTTGGGCCTTTTTTCTATTGTTGGCCATGTCTGTGACTGTGACTATGATGTAAACCTTTGACATTCAGGGTATACATTGAGAACACAATTAAGAACACAATTTAGTCTGTGTGCTTAAAAAATACTTTTATGGTTACATAACTGCAGAATATTAGTGCCACTTAATTCTTTACTACAGCACAAGTAAACATGATATTTTGACCCCATAAATTGACATTTACTGTTATACTTAATGTGGCTCTTCAATGTGTTGGATGAATCAGTATAAGTAACTTTAGTAATGAGCATGTATCTCACCATCTAAAAAGAGTTTACCTGTGTTCACCTTTCCAATGTCCTCTCCACCATGTGGACAATGTGCCTTCTGTAAGTCTTTCAACCACAGATAAGCCTACACGTCCATGTGAGCATGGCTCTTGTGACATAAAGGACACTTAAGTGTTAAATGGTTCTTTATTTAGCAGTGCATAATAATGTGTTTCAGGGCACTTGGGTAGGATTTTATCTGTTGAGAAAACCAAGCACTAATATAACTACAGAAAGGAAAACTGGATGCCTTGGTAAGACGTTTGTGTGCTGGGAAGTACATTCTTCAGATGCCTAGTTCTGAGCTGCTTCTAAAACTGTGGGGCTGTGTAGAGCCCCTCAGGCTGGCCAACTTTCCAATTATTGCTTTGTTGTAAACATACAGGCGAACTTCAATGTACAGCATAAATCATCCCGCAGCACCAAGTGTAATAGTGGCTGTTCGCCATAAGTGTGTTAGTAAGGGATGAACTGGGGAAAATGAACTTTGTTGTTTTTATTTATTTTTTGTACTATATGCATATAAAACCTTTTGGTGCTGTAAGGTACATATGGTAAAGATAAATGAAAGTATATGTTCTTCATCTGTCTGTTTTACACTGCACACATGCTGGAAATTTCCACTGGCCATTCACCCAGAAAAACCGATATGCCAAATATGTCTGAATCTTGGTTATGGCACATTTTAGTAGTGCCTATTTTTAGACATTTTTTCTTCAAATTTCCAGAAAAAAGTAATGAGGTTTTATTTTAGGTCATTTTTTTTCTGGTAGAAATGTGGAGTATTCTTACAGAACCTTAAAAATAAGTGGCATTATCTGGAAGTGTCCACCGAGTGTGATTAAAACTGTAATAAGGCAATGTTGGATCCTTAGATAAGAGAGAGGCCATTATAAAGCAGCCCTGTCGGACATCGTGGGCTGATATGCAGACCTATTATATTTTCTGTCATCTAAATTTTCAATTCAGTGCACAAAACTGTTTTTCCATTTCCAGCTCTAAAACAAGGGCAACAATGAGACATACGCATATCTTCATGGTTCCCTGATACTAAGATAAACCATTGTTTCGGTGCATTATAGGCTGACTTCTGAAGTCTGCTCAGTTTACATTAAAAAAACAAACAGCTTCATGTCCCTGTGAAGTAATCTCTCTGTTCAGGCAGAAAACTGGCAGACCTTTTAGGAACATGCAAACTGATATGCATAATAAAAATTTACTAGACTCTCTAAATACATTTAAACCATAAATCAAACTTGTAAAATATTGTGCATGAACAAAACATGAAACACAATACAAAAATGTGTTTTAAGCTGCTTGAACTCTGTGAAGGTAGGTTATAATTTCCAACTGTGTACAGGGAAAAGGTGTTGTCAGAATGTCAAATAATACATCTATACCAATGGTTCTGGTTTAGCATCAGGATCCACATTATTTATATTAGTGGTAAAAATTTTCATCTGAGATAGAGGTGGTGACCCACATTTGGGTCGCGACCCACCAACTGAGATGCACTGTTCTGTACAACCTGGAATACATCATTTTAACTGGCCAGCCATTTAAAGAGGCCAGTAATTCTTCCTGTAGAATGGAAATATATTTCCACCATGGCTATTGTCACGCACCCTGACTGGAGAAACAGGAGCAGGGAGGCGAGGAAGCGGAGAACGAGGGATTTATTGTAAGAACACATAAGGCAAGCCACAAGACTGACGTGAAACTTCAATGACCGGACTGGGGAAAACATACCTAACGCAGACTTAAATACATACTGTATGGACGAAAGACAACAATTAGAAACAGCTGGTGAACACGGGGAATCCACATGGAGTTAATGAGGGGGCGTGGCACACGGAAGGAGCAGACGAGCCGGGCAGGACAGGACCCCCCCCCCCAAAGGCGCGCAGTCCGACCACACCTAAGGGGAGCGAAGCAACAGGGACCGGGGACACAACAGCACCTGGGGAGACAAGAGCAACATCAATGGGGCACAGGGAACAACACATACACACAGAACAAACACAAGGAGACCAATGCAGACAACAGATGGCAAATCACAGGAAACGCAGACACGCACAGGGGCACCAAAAAAGGAAACAAAGGACACGGGGACACTAAAGGGGATAACGGAGGGACCACCCCAGGGGGCACACCCACAAGAGGAGTTGCCACCACTGGCTCAGGCATCAGTGGCATGTGAGTCTCAGGCAGAGGTGCAGTCCTCGCCTGCCTAGCCTCAGGCTCCTGAGGACTCACAGGCGGGGAACCAACTGGAGTCTGTGGGACCAGAACCTGGGGGAGCGGAGGTGGGTCAGGGAATCGACCCCAATGCCGGTGTCCCCTTCCTCTCCGGGAGACTGTGAGGTGGGAACCCGGCTGGGATCTGCCTTGTCGTGATGGTGGGGGAGTCCCAAGGGGAGTCACAAGGGGATTCAAGTAGATCCCCGAGGGGTCCCACTCGAGCTCTTCCTCTATCAGTTTCCTATAGGAGGAGCGGTGGTCTGGAATTTGGGGACTAGGGCCATGGGAGCTGGAGGCAAGGGGATTGGAGCCATGGGAGTTAAAGGTACAGGGACTGTAATGTGTGGTACAAGAACCAGGAGAACTGAGACTGTAGGGTCAGGGACAGGGTACACTGGGGCCGAGGGGTCAGGGACCAGGGGAGCTGGGGGCTCGTAGGGCGGCGCGTCGGCCGCCGGGGCTGCACTCGGGGCCGGGACATCGGCTGCAGGCGGAGTCGGCAGAGCCGGGACGTTGGGCGCAAGTGGAGCCGTGATGTTGGGCGCAGGTGGAGCCAGGACGTCGGGGCGGAGCCAGGACCCCTGGCGAGGTTTGCACTGCTGGCTCCCTCATTATCTGCCAATAAAGCCCCTGGAGAGTAAAAAAGCGGCGGGCCAGGGTCTCGGGCACGGGCGAAGCTGCAGACGTGCCAGCCTCGGGCGTTGGAACCACGGGGGTGGGAGCTAGTGCCCGCTTCTTCAGGAACTTGGGGACCCGAGGAATCCCGTCTTCGGCAGCTCTGACGCCTTTACAGGCCGGGCATGTGCCCACAAAGGCACGGGCTGCGGGGACTAGGGTGATGGACAGCGAGCCTGTCGTCAGGCTTACCTCTTGGACAGGCGTGAGGAGAAGGGGCGCTTCTGGAACTGATGCAGTGGGCTCAGGCGCTGCGGGAGCCAGCTGGCTGAAACTGGAGACTGGCAACCCGGGCACGACAAACACCACAGGGTCCATCACAGTGGGGGATGTCTCTTTAAGGGCCATGGGGAAGCGAGTGGAACCTGTAGACAGACAGGTGTCCTGCGTAAACGCAAAAGCAGGCAGTCTCACCTCTGGGGCAGGCGACCCAGCTGCGCAGGCGTCGGGCGCCGGCTCAAGGAGGGCGGCGTCCACGGTGAAGTTGGGCGTCTTTGGCGAAGCTGGACTTGAACGCAGACTGAAATACACAAGACTAATGGCAGAGAACAGCTGGTAAACATAGGGATTCCACACAAGGTTAACAAGGGGGGCGTGGCACACAGGAGGATCGTACGAGCCGGGCATGACACGATCTTGACCCCTTGGCCATTCACATGTGGTCAAAAAGCTTAGATTTTAAAATAAAGACCACCAGATTTATAATCAGAAGATTATCAGATTCATAACCAGAAGAACAGTGTTGTTCCTATGAATTGCTCTTCCCTGCATTGTCTGTCTGCTCAGTTGAATAACTTCCACTCTTTAATTAGCCTTCCATCTGCCTTCTTTACTGCGTCTCATTTTCAACTGGTCAAAATCAAAGCAGCCTTTCATGTGGTGAAGCAGGCTGCAAGCGTGCTGGTCTTCTATCCTGGCAAATATAAGCTTTCTGGTAAATTATCTACTGTTCCATTGTGCATCACCGTAACAAAACTGGGATTTTAAGATCAAATACCCACCAAACAACAAAACATTTCCGTTGCTGTATATTTTTGGGAGCTTTGTGTAATAACGCATTGGCTTATTCATTTAGGCTTTCTAAACACTGACCACACTCATTAAGGTCTCTGTTTTTACAACTCAAATAAGGTGGAGTGGGTGATCTTTGCACATAAATTATTCAAGGCATGTGAATTAAACACATGAAGAATAAATAGTGCTTTCTCAAGACATTGGTAGATTAGCAAAATAATACTTTGCCCTCCATTCCCAACACACATGTTGTGATGACCGGCGTGCAGCGAGCGGGGAAGCAGGCGAAAGAGCCGTGAATGTGATCAAAAACAGGGTTTATTCAGGGTTGACAAGACGACAGGGGAGCACACGGCAAATTCACGTTAATGACGGACCTGGGGAAACAGACTTGAACGCGGACTAAATACACAAGACAAGCAGAAAATAACAGGCAACAGGTGATCACAATCGGGGTAGCACACGTACTGTAGGTAATGAGGGGGCGTGGCACACACAAGGATCGTACGAGCAGATCATGACACATGTGTCGCCATGAAAATTATTCCTGTAGCATGTCAAAAATAATCTTATTATTTACAACCTTTGTAAGAAGACAGACTTCTTCATTGCTGGCTGCTCAATATCAATTTGTAGTTCATCCATTTTCAGTAACTGCTTATCTGCATGTCAGTGACCCAAACCAATGTAGAAGGACAGTTCTCCTGAAGATGGCATCTTTGGACTGTGGAAGGAAACTGGAATGCCATAATGCAGTATTTCTCAGTACAGTCACTAAGGGCCCCCAGACAGGGAGCTGGGAGGGAGCAAAAATGTGGACTGTCCAGGACCGGGTTGAGAAACACTGCCATAATGAATCTAGGCACAAATGGAAGAACTGTACACAGAGCAGCTTAAGACACACAAACCAAACATCAAAGAAATAGAGCCATACTCGTCATACATATTCCTAGCTAAGCCTGTAATAGGAGAAACAGGAGAAGCATCACATGGGTTGGTTGTCACACTATTTATATACAGACCATTATAGGGAACTGATTAAAAAGGGTGTGGAAGACTCTGTGTTACATCGGCACAGCATGGTGCAGGCAGAAAGGAGGGTGATGATCCACTTGCGGTTCCGAGACAAAGAGCCCACAGAACTCTTAACAGACAGTAACATGGGCACAATGACTAACTAAAGAACAAGATGAAGACAGGCACCTAAATACACAGAACGCAAAAGAGGTGCTGCTATTTGGACCTAGGGCAACAAGGAGCAGGGGACGACAATCCAATCAATCAATTAATCAATTATGGCACAAGACAACGGGTGGAATAAATTACAAAAACAAGAACTTGGGAACATTGAGAAACACTGAGGGCTAACACTAGGAATGACTAGGAACACAGATACAAGCAGAACAGAACCAAACCAGACACATGCTAGATAATCCAAAACAGGGAAGCAAAGGACTAACAAACACTAGGAAAAACAGAAAACCAATAAACATAACAGGTGAAGTCAGCCTCAAACTCATGACTGCAAGGTTACAGTCTCTGTGCTACATATGCAGAGCATTGAGCTATGCAGCAATCCAGGATGTAGGAAAACACACAAGGGTCTAGTACAGCCGCACGGTGGTGCAGTGGTTAGCACTGACCCTGACGACTTGACTGGGCCACACAGAGCCCTGGCCTATATCAAACACCTTTGAGATGAACTACAATGGAGATTGTGAGTCAGGTCTTCTTTTTCTCAGAAACACAGTTATTTGTCTTGATTTGTCTTCCAGCTGCCTTTGCAGCATCTAATTTTCAGATGGTCAAAATCAAAGCAGCCTTTCATGTGGTGAACCAGGCAACAAGCACACTGGTCTTCAATCCTGGCAAATATAAGGTTTCTGGTAAATTATGTACAGTTCCATTGTGTTCCACCCTAACAAAACAGGGATTTTAAGATCAAATACCAAAAACACAATTTAATAATCGTTTTCATGCTTCTTCCCTTCTAATTTAGCTTTGCAATTGAAAGGAGGCATGGAACCTTAGAAGTTTATTATTTTAACTAATTAAATTTTAGAAGTTTCTGGGCCTCACGATATGGAGCCTGTATCACGAAGCTGGATTTCATGCTTAGCCGGATAACTTCGGATTACATTTGCCTCAATGTAAGTGAATGAAGATAAAGTCCATTTAAACTGAGGGACCTTCAATCAGATAAGTTACCCAGCTAAGCTTCGTGATACAGGCCCCTCGTCATTAAAACTGCAAACGAAATGTTCCTGTGTATCCTGGCAGTAAACAGTGAAAGTCAAAAGAGTCAAAGAGTTTTTAAAGAGTTTTTTTTTCTGATTTTAAAACATCGACCACCCTGTAAAGGAATGTACAAACCAAATGTACCTGTTACAACACAGTTTACTCTTTAAAAAACAGTGTAACGTGTAATTTCTAATACAAGGGGGAAAGTCGTCCAGTTGTCAGGTTCGTTTTTATGCATTAGACTATTAAAATGCATATGTGAAAATACAGCGAAATAAAGCATATCGAAATGTGGGTCGTGAATAACAATGAGCGTTGGCGGAATCAATTACGCTGCCAGGATGTTTCTGCATTTAAACTGTCATGGCCTCTGTATCATTTTCAACGTTATATTCTGAAAAGCATATTCGCTCAAGGCTATCTAAGATGCTCTATACCGAAAAGATGCACAAGAGCAACGGACCCGTTTAGTACAGTTTGTTCATATTCTATAACAATGCATAATGCAGCATTTTCTGGTTGAAAATGTATCCATGCATTTTGAAATTGGTAACTAATAAACTAGCAAAAATAAGTACATAACAATTTGAAAATGACGATTTAAAAATTGTCTTGGCTCTGTGCCCAGTTGGGCTGCGCGTTAGCTAATCAAATTAGCATGTAAGTATTCAAGCAGGAAAGGGGGGGCGTTTTATTTAGATTACTGTTGATGAGTAATTCGATTATTTCGGCTACAGCATTATTTTACTGTCATATTTAGTCTTTGGCATGTCCTATGCCTTGGATACAAGCATTTTATTTGAACTAAAATCGAATAAAAAGTATTCCAATAAAACGAATTTAGCAAACAACGTTTTAACCAACGTCTGAGCCTTAAAACATAAAAGAATATTGATTTCTTTCAGTGTTTTGTTATATTTCACAAATTGCTCCGGCAGATGGCACTCAACAGCAGCTAATCCAACAAACTGGGTTAGCCTATTCACGTTTTTCAGAATTCGTCTGAGCAGAGGGGTTGTTACTGATTTACATATAAGCAAGGTTATTCCCTTCATTCCTGTAAATCGTAATCTTTCATCCCTTGTAAATTGGTAAAAATCCTCTTAATTCAACAACTATCAAGTAATCCGACATGCTGTGGCAAAGGAAAGCCCATCCATTTTCTGTAACCACTTGTCATATTCAGCGTCGCGGGGGTCCGGAGGCTCCGGGGGCAGCAGGGAGCAACATAGGTAACTCCAATTAAGCAGAGGTGGCAATTTCAGGTCCAGAAAGTAAAAATCCAGACCACGAATTAAGAAACTGTGTGTGTGTGTGTGTGTGTGTGTGAATCCAGGCCTTGTTTTCAGTTCTCCCTGGTAGTTAGTTTAATAATTACTGATTCTGATTGGTCATAGGCTTCACACCTGACTGACAGGTAAAGGAAGGCTGGAAAACCAGCAGAGCTCGGACCTCGAGGACCGTGATTTGAATAACCCTGGTATATAAGGATCCCCATCATCTTAGGCCATCGTTTTATTTACATTAACTAGACTTCAAAAGGTAACCTATCAACTTTAACCACACATAATAATTCGTTACGTTGTGTGAGTGTACATGTTTATGACTGTTAGGCATGTTAATGCTTTCCAGGCAGCTTTGTTCTATGGTGTATGGTTTACGAATACAGACTTCAGCAAAAATTTATCATTAGCTAATTTGAGCAACTTTTTGTCAAATAGCCTTTGTATAGAGCTACAGTGATCCAGCAGTTATATAGCGCATACAGAATTGCTCTTAAATGTCATACTCGAGAGGTAGCATGGTACGTGGCGCAGTGGTTGACACTGACACGCCCACCTCTCGGGACCAGGGTTCGAGGTTCCGCCGTCGGTCCGCGTTTCTGTGCATGCTGCATGTCGTCGAGGGGGTTTTCTTTGGGTATACAGTCCAAAAAACTTGCTGAGGTTGAAATTCCGTCATTATCTTTGTGAATATTTTTCCAATGCACCATTAGACTGGGAAATACTGCATGTATGTGGTATAATATATTCCGATTATATCCAGTAAAGTTCTCCAGAAAAAAAATAAAAAAACAATTCATGCGAATTGCCCCTGTGAAACACAATGGACAATTTCAGAGGGAAAAGCGGGAGAAACATAAACTTTTCAATTATGTCAGTGTAGATCTTCAGGGTCTTGCCCTGGGCTACAGATTAAGTTATTGCATTTTTTTTTATGTTCAAAAATTTTACAAACAGATCAAGCATTTAATCGTTATCTCGCACAATTTTATAGATAATTAGTCTGTCATTATACTATGAGCTGTAACTGTATTCTAATTACCGATTGTATATATTGAAAGAGATATAATTTTGAAGAAAATGAAATCCTAAACCAGCTTGCTCATGCTGGGAAATGAAGAGTACCAATAAAACGCACAGTCGCTACGATATTTTTCTCCATTGATAATGAGCAGCCCTCGTATTACCATACCAACAGTCTCGATTTTGTTCATTAACTGATTATGCACATAAAGAGAACACAATTTAACATCGAGAGCATTCCTGTGATCCTGTACTGGATATGGTAGAAATTTTGATTTTCTTGTGAAAATGACTAGCAAATATTACACGTTAAATTTAACACTAAAATGTCTGTTTAAAGAAACAAAGACTGCAGTGTGGTAGCACCGGACGTCGATTTTAAGGCTTCTTGGGTTCAAATATATCAATAGGTCAATAGGTTCAAATATATCAATATCAACAATACTAATAATTTTATTCAGATTTTTTTCTGAAAACTTTGATAAGTACATAAGAACTTAACTTGCAGTTATTTAAGATTGTTACAAACAATGCTGTCAACTTCAGTAGCTTTTAGCCTGCCAGAGGGGGGGCCGCAGACAACAGTCACTAGCAATCAACACACTACAGGACGATTAACCAGCACGGGCCAAACTCAAAAGTCATGGAGGACACATTATAAACAGAAACATGGGCAAAGGCATTATTAAAATGTGTAAGAAAGGCATTATTAAAATGTGTAAGAAAGGCATTATTAAAATGTGTAAGAAACCATTTTCCATATTTGGAGTGTAGCAAATGGCAATCCATGTACTTGGAAGGAATTTGTCTGTTTTATCCATCTTAACAGATGATGATTCTCCAAATTTGACAAGTCACAGCTTGACTGGAATTAAAATATGCCGAATCATGGCTCCAAGAAAACAACCATCATATACTGTATGAGCGAGAGACAAAGTGAGAATCAAGAAATGGACACAGTAGCAGAATCAGACAGCAAATAAATTGGTTTATTGTGTAATTCATAGTAGAGGCACCACCTCACGTATATAGGCACTGAACTACTGCACCAAAGTCACTGTCACTTCGTGTAACATACACATCTGTCCTAGCATGAAGGCTCCGATTCACACGTATCGGGGTTCTGCTCTTGCCACCTGCCACTCTTATCTGCCTTTGAGCCTCAGACAAGAGGGCCGTAGACTTCACAGAAGGACTCAAGGCGCCACATGGTCACTGTGGCAGTAGGAGGTCATCTTACATCGAGGTGGAGGGAAAACACAGGATCAGCCTTCACTGCTCATCTGAATAAAAAGTAGCATGTACAGTGTGTTCAGTGCTCTCCACCCCAAAGCACTGACCTTGAATCAGTTTATCCTTTGCTCACATGCTCGTTGGGCAACAATTAGGCACTAATCACCTGGAGTTCTCACATTCCTTGATTTATACTGATTGCGTATTGTGACGGGTGGAAAGTGGTTGTTAGAGAAACATGGAAGTGGGTTAATCATGGTTCGTTAGCTCGCATCAGCCTGGAGAGTTTGAGAAACATGAACGCTCTCAAAGCAAGAGGCACAACACTCTTCAAGTGTCAAATTTCACGGTTTTTTTTTTTTTTTTTTTTACACGGGACACGTCCAGCAACCATCTGCTACAAGATCTGTGGCAAACACTGACTTGATATCACAGCACAGAATAACAGAAAAAAACAACAGATCTGGTCTTGGCTGTACAATACACACAAATTAATAACACAGACCTTCAAGTAACTAACAATGGCTTCACCCACACCCTATACATTGAAATAAAACGTCAAACAAACCGTTAATATACATACCCAGTAGCAATACCTGTGATCATAATATCAAGGACAGAATTAAGCAATATTAACACAACTGCTACTTACTTCACTGACCATAACTCACCATTTGTACTAGCACTATGTATGGTTACAGTACAAACGGTACAGATAAAATCAGTGGTTGGTAAAATAAAGTCTTAAAAAACAAACTTAAAATGCTCAAAAAAACTCAAAGCTGAGAAATTTATGTGTATGAAGTTATCGCACTGTATAGCAGAGCCACAAAGAAGTGATGCTTGTTTTTAAACCTCTATGACTGACCAATGGAATTATGGGATGTCCTGTCTGCAGTGCACCTCTCTGAAACAGAGCGGACATAGAAAGGATGAGTACTGACAAGCTGGAGGATAAAAGAAAAGAAACAATCTCAATGAGTTTCATCCCGTGACTAGGGGCTGGGTCGAAATAAATAGATTTTTCTTATATCTGTTTTTTTTCTCTGATCCTCATAGCCCTGCTCACAATGCAGTCAGCCTTCATTATATAACACAAATGCTTGTTCTTTGAGGATAATTTCACTACCTGATGAATGAAATAAAGTTCCACCAGGACAACAATGCTGGAAATCTGGGTATATGATGCACGTGTGAGCAAATGAACAGGTATCTAAGGAGCATTAGTGAGCGTGTCATTGGGGATTACAGGCATTGATTTATAAATGAGTCACCACTATACTGTAAGTCAGGGGAAGATGATCATTTTCAAATATATCTTTTTTTAGTCTGCACCAAATTCACGCCTCTCTGGCACACCTGAAGGGCAGAATGTGTGTCAAGATGCAGCATGATGCAGGTACAGGTGCTTACTACAGTAAATGCATAATTAGGCCACACACCAAGGCTTCAGAATAACTGTATTCCTTTCAAGCAGAAGTTGATTTCACCCTGATTGGAAAGAATTTTTTTCTGCTCTCACTACTTTTTCTTTTGCCTGGCAGAGATGTCAGTCATGTGGTTAATATTTATATACAGGCGCTTAACTATCTATCAAACGGCGCACCCTAGCAGATTTACAAGAATCTTTCCCCCCTGGAAACCATAGCAACATCCACAAATCAAATTCTGTGGGGCAAAAACGGAGGATGTGAGTGATATCTCTGATGTGTAAGGGCTTGCACCAACGTGCGACTTTGTCACAGTGTGGGAACAGTGCCAGCGCTGATCAATTTCGGCCGCAGAAATACGCCCTACCAGCTGCTTGGGCTACAACCATCCAAATGTCCGCAGCTAGGGTGCCTGGAAGCTGTGAATGCATAGATATCAAGGGTGGCATATGCTAAAGCATTCAAGGTCTCAATAATAGTGGAACTGTAAATTCCCGAGCCCCCCACCCCCCGCCACATCATTTAATTGCTTCAGAACTGTGCTCCCCTCTCCTGTGGATAGCAGGCAATTTAGCCATCCAGCAGGGGACCGTGTGATTACAGGGCTGCTTGTGAGAGAAAAGGGGCTGGCAATTAGTGAAGGGATGGGAGATGTTTCAAAAGTCTCACTGATCCTATGTGACCTATAAGATGACCAGTTGACTGGGGAAAGGAAGTGAGGTGTGTGTTTAATACAGACTGAGCTCTGTACACATGTGACAGTTTGGTCACCGAATTGTCCTGCGGTCGTAGACTGTGAAAGCTCGCTAATCACTCAGTTCCCCTGGGTGTGCAGTCAGACAGCAAAAGATTGCCCCCCCCCCCAACCCATGTATGAAGATGCCACAAGAAAGCACCCAGGGAAATGGACGCCATTAGCTGCTGTCAGCTGGGTGTTTGATTCTCTGATCTACAAGCACGAAAATCCTCAGAGAACACAGTCCTGTGATCTTGGTTTAATGCTATCTCCAGCTAATTTGCAGATGGAGTTCATTTTTTCATGATGAAACCAATGCCAGGATTGCCATGGGCCGGTGATATGGAAGAGTGGGTCATGAGGAGATGTGAAATGGGACTGAAGAGGGAAAAGAGGCACGGCTCTGGTACAGTCCCTCCTACACACCACAAGGCAGATGCTACTCAAAGATGGACAGAATGGGGATTAAAAAAGGAAAAATGATGCAAGTACAGGCACCACTTCCTGCAGCCTCCAGCCTGACCTCAGGCAAGACGCACCGGGTGCTCTGACAGGAAGGAGTGTGGATATGACAGGCCGGCAGTGCACTGCATCAAGGTGGCCGCAGCCCTAAGCCCCAGCCACCTTCGCGGTTCTCCATCACTCGTGGTTGCCCTGGCACTGACAGGCACGGAGAAAATCCCACTGCAGAGACAGGTGGTCATCCGGGGTCTTAGGGTCATAGCAATCACAGACTCTAACCGACTGATAATCCCCCCACCCCGCAGTCCCCTTCGTTTCCCTGGGAGACAGTGAACCTGTAGTCATTGTCATCTAGGCAAATCTCTGCCATATTCAAAAATGCGTCTTTGCAGAGAAAAAAACCCTCCTGCATCAACTTTGTTTTTCCGGAAAGTAAAAATAAGTGCTAAGCGTGCCAGTGCTGCCTGAGGCTGCACCGGCTTTGCATCTATGGCCCTGTGTTCCATATTTTATACGAATACCCTGCTTTGATTGTATAATCAAATCAAGTTTTAAATCTGATGATTGTTTAATTTTTTTTGCCTGTTTTCCTGTCTGAAACATCTGGAGCATAGAAGCCTCTTTGCATACAGCAAGAAAGTGTGTTAGCCTCATGCTGAAGAGCCATCTGAAAAAAATTCAGGCAAGAAAGCTGTTCGGTGCTGGTTGTCTTCACCTTGAAGCGTTTAGCCTGCTGCAGAGAGAGAGGCTGCTGGGAGATTTCAGCCAGGACCTGTGTGTGTCTCACATGCCGCCTCCTCCTCTCCCCAAACACGCTGTCCCTCACACAGTCTCCCTCATGCAGAGTGCCTCCACGGCATTGCTGGGACCCTGGGCCACACCCCCGATGAGGAAGAGCATGTGGGGCGTCTGCAGGCCGGCACAGGAGCAGCGGGGGCTGGGCAGAGGGGCCACAAACTCCCAGCGCTTCTTCATGGGATTGTAGCTCTCCACGGAGGCCAGAGGGGATGGCTGGTTACCTGTCAAACCGAATGCAAACGCACACAAGACATAACAAGAACGTGAGTTTTCTCGAAAAGTATTAGTCTGGGATCAGATGAAAGGATCCCCACAATCATTGACACATAAATTCCAACAAATGAGCAAACTTCCTCATTGGGCACCTTTCACCTGCACGCCTCATGCCTGGGTGAGCACAGCCAGAACAGTGTACCTTTCACCAGCCACCAAATGAGTCCATGATATGCAGAATAAAATGGGATTTCCTCTCTGCTGATGAATCAGACTGTTTCGTTATGGTCTTACTCCCATCTACGTGGGCACTTACAGATGTGACAGAGCTGTCGACTGACCATCAAAAGGGTGAGGCTGCAGGATTTCGTCATCTTATCCCTGCGCTTTGTTTGGGGGTGTTAAATGAAAATCTTTCAGTGGGAACCCAAGCACAAAAGCACAGTCACTCTCCTGCACAGCATGGTCTACATAATAACGATTAGGTGGGTTCTGTGCCCATCGATATTTGTCACTACTCAGCCTCCAGCAAAACCGTGCTTCTGCTGCTAGCACTATGAAAACCCACAAGCATTGGGACATCAGCATTGGGTACAGCCATATGTGGTCTTTCCTCTGTTCCTTGCAAGGTTTCTGTTTGCTTTCATATAGCCTCTGGCTGCTGCTATCCAAAGGAAAACACCATGCCAATCACCAGATATTTTGGGAACAGTGGCACAATAGTCTCTATTTTTCCACCTTGTTGTTTGTAGAATAAACCAGCAGGCTACCATAAGAGGCATCAAGTCAGGGACAAACACAGGCAGCAATCAAGGAATAGACAGGGTCTGTGTGCTTGGAACAGTCAAACCCTGTATTCTGAGGACAGACAGAGCCTACTGACTGAGGACATACAGACCCTGTAGTCTAAGGACAGACTGTGGGCTGAGGACAGACAAAGCCTATAGACTAAGGACAGACAGAGCCTGTGGGCTGAGGAAAGAAAGCCTGCAGTTTGGGAGCAGACAGGGCCGTGTCTTTTATGTACTGTATACAGAGTATGCAGTCTCGGGATGTTCATACTGGTCTTTTCTTGGGAAAATAGTATCTAGCGTTAATCATATTGCAGAGAGCCCATGTGTTGTGGATAGGCATGAAGTTGTCTCCTTGACAGATATCCAGTGCTGGTCTGGGGATAGTCATTCTGTTGTGTCATTGATGAATGAAACCTCAATATAGTGTCAGAACGATTGCCAACTCCAGAACGTTTTTTTATGCTGAGGACAGACAGCAGGCTGAGGACAGCCTGTTGTTGTGGCACAGCATGGCATAGGCGGGGGGAAAAAAAGATGAAGATCCACTTAAAAGCCCCAAGACAAAGGGATTTACTGGGGAAATCAAACACACTGGGTAAAACTACAAAACAGGAGGATCACAAGGGGTCAAAAAACCAACAGGGAAAAAAAGGAATAAACTAAAAACCATAGAATAAACACAACAACAGAACACAGGGAACAGGACTGAGCAACAGAGCAGGTTGACAAACACACAGTAACATTCACAATGAATCAGCAAGGAACAGAAGGAGGGCAAGCACTTAGAAATAACAGACAACTGAGTTAAGGAAGAGACAGATGTGACACATGAGACAATTAACCAATAACAACAGCACAGGGAAAACAGGCAACATGTGCAGTAACTTATGCTAATGAACACAAGACTAAGGAAACTCCAACATACACTGAAAGAAACACTAATCACACACTGGAAATTACTACACTGGGATAAGTAAGCATATGGAACCAAAATACGAACAGGAATGGATGTGAACAGGGGGGTATTCTCCGTACGTGGATTACTCGTTTAGCCGGATGAAATTGTTGACGATTTGGCATGATCCTGGATCTGTCAATTTTTCAAAACTCTTGCTGGATGTGTTGTCATAGCAGCACATCCAAATCCTCAAACCTGCTCGGAGCAGGTTTATTCTACGTGAACAAGGATTAGCTCACACACCTAATCGGTGTCCGTGCATGGAAATCCGGTCAGTCAGGGCTTCGCCATTCATGGATGAGCGACCAATTGCAATCGGTGCACAAATAATAAGAAGGGAATTTCAAACTGAGACGGTTTTGCGCGATCGGCAAGATCCTTTATTGTTGCCGGATGATATTATTTTCGAAAGAGATGGAATATTATATCTTAAAGATTTATTAGCTTCGTATAGTAGAAGTCCAGCTACAGTAGGTGAAGTCGGGTTCTCACACCCGCACAGACAATGTGCATTGCCTTGAAATATTTTGCAAGCGGCACTGTTTTGTATACTGTAGGCGATACGGAAAATATATCAAAGAGTACAGTTTGTAAGGCAATTGGCAAAGTCTGTTTGGGCGGAAATATTTCCTTCGGTTTTCATTGGTTTTCCCGGACACCTGCGAGTGTAGGCAATTAAAGAGGCGTTTTATGCCATTGAAGGTAATGTACACGGAATAAAATTACAGTTCTATAAAGAATTTAAAAATCACACTAATATTCTCATATTCAGAATTCCCAAATGTTGTGTCTGCCTTCTTCTTATTAGCTTCAAAGGAAATGTTTTATGAATATTAAAGATTTCTTACATTTCATATAGATAAAATTAAGCAGTTTGAAGTATATTTTTGTAGTTCACTTTAACTTGTTCCCATGTCCTGCATGATTGGGCTTGTATTTGATCTGTAATTATAAAATAATAATGAAACATTGGAAACATAATACTACATTTAAGTAACAAATACAATAACTAAAAACTACTTACACATTAAATTTGTCTGACACTTTATACCAGCCGTCTTTTCTGGTTTGGGCTGCTTTTGATGTGTTTCCTTTAGTACAAATTAAATATTTGAATTCATCATACCCTCTAATTTAAGGTCCTGCTCAGATTGCGTGAAAAACTGTTTTTTTGACATTTTGTGGAAGCCAACTGAGAGACTTGCTGATCAAGGTTTCTAGACTCGATATACACTACTCAAAAAAATTAAAGGAACACTTTGAAAACACATCAGATCTCAATGGGGGAAAAATCATACTGGATATCTATGCGTATTACTATGGACTGAGTAATGTGTTAGGAATGAAAGGATGCCACATTGTTTGATGGAAATGAAAATTATCAACCTACAGAGGACTGAATTCAAAGACACCCCAAAAATCAAAGTGAAAAAATGATGCAGCAGGCTAGTCCATTTTGCTGAAATTTCATTGCAGCAACTCAAAAATCGTACTCAGTAGTTTGTCTGGTCCCCACATGCTTGTATGCATACCTGACATTGTCAGGGCATTCTCCTAATGAGGCAACAGATGGTGTCCTGGGGGATCTCCATCCAGATCTGGACCAGGGCATCACTGAGCTCCTGGACAGTCTGAGGTGCAACCTGGTGGCATCAGATGGACCGAAACATAATGTCCCAGAGGTGTTCTATTGGATTTAGGTCAGACGAGCTTGGGGGCCAGTCAATGGTATCAATTCCTTCATCCTCCAAGAACTGCCTGCATACTCTCGCCACATGAAGCTGGGCATTGCAGTGCACCAAGACAAACCCAGGACCCACCGCACCAGCGTAGGGTCTGACAATGGGTCCAAGGATTTCATCCGATACCTAATGGCAGTCAAGGTGCTGTTGTCTAGCCTGTAGAGGTCTGTGCGTACCTCCATGAGTATGCCTCCCCAGACCATCACTGACCCACCACAACAAGCATAATGTTCTCCACGGATTCTCCAGACCCTTTCATGTCTGTCACATGTGCTCAGGGTTAACCTGCTCCAATATGTGAAAAGCACAGGGCGCTAGTGGTGGACCTGCCAATTCTGGTATTCTGTGGCAAATGCCAGTCGAGCTCCACGGTGCCGGGCAGTGAGAACAGGGCCCACTAGAGGACGTTGGGCCCTCAGGCCACCCTCATGAAGTCTGTTTCTGATTGTATGGTCAGAGACATTCACACCAGTGGCCTGCTGGAGGTCATTTTGTAGGGCTCTGGCAGTGCTCATCCTGTTCCTCCTTGCACAAAGGAACAGATACCGGTCCTGCTGAAGGGTTAAGGACCTTCTATGGCCCTGTCCAGCTCTCCTAGAGTAACTGCCTGTCTCCTGGAATATCCTCCATGCCCTTGAGACTGTGCTGGGAGACACAGAAAATCTTCTGGCAATGGCACGTATTGATGTGCCATCTTGGAGGAGTTGGACTACCTGTGCAACCTCTGTAGGGTCCAGGTATCACCTCATGCTACCAGTAGTGACACTGACCGTAGCCAAATGGAAAACTAATGAAAAAACAGTCCGAAAAGAAAAGGAGGGAAAAATGTCAGTGGCCCCCACTTGTTAAACCATTCCTGTTTTGGGGGTCGTCTCATTGTTGCCCCTCTAATGCACCTGTTGTTAATTTCATTAACACCAAAGCAGCTGAAACTGATTAATAACACCCTCTGCTACGTAACTGATGAGAGGAATATCCTAGAAGTTTAGTTTACTTGATGCTATACTCTGATTAATAAGCGTTCCTTTAATTTTTTTGAGAAGTATACACTCACCTAAAGGATTATTAGGAACACCATACTAATACGGTGTTTGACCCCCTTTCGCCTTCAGAACTGCCTTAATTCTACGTGGC